TAACCCTGACAACTGACTCTGTGTGTTATGAACTTCTGCATTATATACACTATTTTGTACTTTACATACTTCTAACCAAAGTGTTTGTCATCTCAGCAGTTTCTGTTTCCTACACCATCCCTGACTATTTTAATTAAGTTCTTCTTTGAGGTAGGCTCAGTGAAAGTATCAGTCTCTCTCTATTTCAGTGTGCACAATCCAATATGTAAGGGAAGCATTTTTTTTTTTTTTTAATGATTGTGCTGAGGTTCATACACATCTGTGAGACTCAGGCTTGTGACACAGCAATTCGATCGACTTGTATATAACCAGCATATCAGGTTTTTCCCAAACAATTAGTGCCACCGGATATACAGTATCTGGCAATACTAATTATTGTGTTCTGTTACACGGAAAGGCTTCTAACCTGCAGGACACAATAGAGCTGTGGGATGGAAATCAAACAATTTTATGTCCTTTCACCCATGGTGGAAAGAAAGAAAATTGCAGTCTCCGAACTTCTCTTCCCTCCCATAACCCCTTCGAATAGTCTTCAATCCTGAGAACCTTTAAGGCAGGCTATATATTATGTAATATTCTTTCTTTCCATCTATGGGTGGATGGAAAGAAAATTGCTTTATTCCACCATTAGCACAGTGATTGTTGATGGGGAATCCCTCCTGCAGCACTAAATGTGTTCTGCCAGCAGGGAGCCTTCCCTGTCAGCAGAACACAACGATTAGTGTTGCCAGTTATAGCCACTAATCATTTGGGAAAAATCAGACAGGCTGGTTGTACGTAAGTCGATTGATAGATTGACTAGTGTACAAACCAGCGTGCCCATACATGAGTTGAAATATGGCCAGTCCCTGCTGAACTGGTCAAATTTTGATCCACATATTGCCAGCTTTTGTGTATACCACCTCTTAAGCCAAACATGTAATCTGGCCAAAGCATCTTCCTATGCTATGTGATAAAGCACATACAATACCCCTGCTCAGATTATTTCTTGTATTATACCTTTTGTCTTGCTGTAAAGTTAAACTACAATGTATACTGAATTATTTTGACTTGATATGGAACTAATACAAATAACACATCTTACTTTTTTGAAAATCTGTTTAGAATCACAAACATGCATAAACTCCAGGGTGCACTGAGATAGCAGTTATATTATTGATTGATCACTGTTACATTACTATTCAGTTTAATTTATTTCCTTCCCTTTTCACACTGCTTTACAATAACAAAGTCTCAATCTCTTTATTGCTTTGAGTTTTTGAGAAGCAGTGTCACGTTGTTCTTGTAAGGTCCATTAAAAGACGCAGCCTATCGCTGTTGACTTTGATTAGCTTTCATGAAAGAAATATCATAATTGAGAGGAATTAAACTTCCTTTTAGTTAAAGGGCGGTATGAGTTTTAGTAGTTCTGTTGGACGTGTTTAGAAGTAGATTACATTTTCATAAAGGGTTTCAGAGTTATAGCTGTATGAAAACGCCTGATAAGAGAAGACATACAGAGAATGCTTACTATCATTTGGAAAACATCTTTTGGGGCATTGGTCGGTTTTCACAATGGGAGCACCAATCTAAAAGTCTATGTCTGCTTAATTAAACGTCAATCCTTAGGGATAAATAGAATATAAATATATTATTAAATTGCAAGGTTATAACCACACAAACTATGTACAATAAAACCCAAAGAGAAGCTAATATATTCTGGTGTTTTGTATTGCTGAGATATACAAATAAAAGATGAAAAATAGCTTAAATCTTAACAACAGCATAGTGTCAAAATGTGAGCATTAACAAGGTATAAAAGTGTTTTGGAATAACAAAGTATGACTTTGTATTTGGTCTTCTGTTCTTACTTTGACATCTTCAAAGACCTTTGCACCTCTGGCATGATACTCTAGTACTCGGAGTAGAATAATAGAGTATATTGAGAATAGACCTTAGATTGTACGCCCCTTGAGGGTAAGGGACTAATGTGACTGTACAATATATATGTAAAGCGCTGCGTAAATTGACAGCGCTATGTAAGTACCTGAAATAAATAAAATAAATAATATGAATATTCAAAATGGACAGGATCATACAATGAGAAACTCTTTTTGTCATACACAGTTTCAAATGTAAAACAATATAGTAGGAGTGCTACCTTAAGTTCTGTAAGGTCAGCATAAGCTGTAGCTTTCCCCACTAGAAATAAACAGCCTAAGGTGACAGTGAAATGTATATCAAGAGAATAATGGCTAAGTTTCCTAGAGTTAGGGGGTGAGGAATCTAAGCCTAGGCCATGATTTAATGACTGCAAGATCTTAATAAACTCTTGGCTATGCAGGATAACAGGTACACTAATATAGTTCTTAAAGTAAGTCATCTGCTGGCTATGTTGGAGCCCTTGAAGACGTTGGTGCACTAGAGGGAATAGTTTCTGCAACAAGGAATCAGGTTGTAGAGCACTAATTTCCTAGGTGCACTAAGATGAGAGGTGTCCACTAAAGAGTTAATTACCTGGGGTATAGTGTTAGATATTTCTAAGGTATCGAAGGGTAGACTTCTGAGCAGCAGGTCTGTTGAATCAGGTTAAGACGTAGTAGGTTGGGCCTTTAAAAGTGGCAGACAATGTTACTTTCCAATAGAATTACTACAAAGGGTCAAAAAAGGTTAATATCCCACTCATCAATTCCACAGTACTTGTAGAAGCAAGTTTTGTTTGGTGAAGAACTGGGAGCCTCCTTTAAGATGAGAAACTCTAGATGAACTTCAGCAATGGTCAGACAGCAGTATTTCTGTGATGCAGCTGCAATATTTAGCTAGATTAGATACCAGCAAACCCAAGAGTAACAGATCTGGGTCTACAGCAGCTCCACTAGTAGGCCTCAATACAATTTCCAGCTCCAGCAGACAGCTGTACCAAACTCAAACTGGGATCAGCAAGTTACAGCCGTTTTTTCCCTGATCCTCAGACTGTCAGGCACAGTCTGTCAACTGTATCTTCCCTCCTGTCTCTCTTCCAGACAGGACCTTCCCTTCTGCACACACTGGTGTGCTCTCTCACAATTGTTCCTCACTCTCTTTTGACCCATCCTGCATTCAGGCATACTGGGTTTTGTTGTTTTCTGAAATGATAATGGGACTCCTTCTGGCTGGGACTTCATTGCTCATACTGCAGTGCTCTAGCTAGAGATGAGTCTACAAAGCTCTATCTTGTGGCAGAAAAATGGAACTACTTGCAGGAATGTTAACAATGCATTAATAAAACCTGCACATTTCAGTGACAAAAGTTCTTGTACTAATAAATGGCTTTTTTTTTTAGCAATAACCTAGGTATGACAATATCATCATTGCTCTGAGTGGTAAAGTCTTCTGACAGACACATTTTGCACAAATAAGCTTAAGGAAACTAATTGACAGTTTTTACAGAACTTTCCTTTCGCTATCTGCCATTTTCAAAGAACTATAACAAAACACATTAATTCTAAATAATCTCTGTTCAAAATATGCTGAAGGTACTGTACTTGTTCTTACCCTATAGTTGACCTCTACATCCCTTAACTCAAAGCTAACTCCTTTGCGTTCGGATCCGTGCATCGACTCCTGCCTGCATTTCAATTTATGGCAGGATGATTATGTCTGTGCCAAAGCTGTGTGTGCATTCACTTCTATGGACTGTCTTCATCCAGCTCTGAGGTGGATGCACAAGCATCTGCCAGTGGCTCTGCATAGATGACAGCACAGATCTGCCATCTGAATGAGCCTTAATGGAAATTCCATTTATTCTGGGTCATAATAAAGGCCCATAACGGACTTCAGAGGCACTGCAACAAAGATATCTTTAAAATCACTTTATTATTTGAATGTAGACCATCACATAGCAATACATACAGGTTATTCCGTTAAGAGTGCAAGACCCCCAAGAGGGGGTGGAGCATTCTATACAGATTACAAAAACTCGTCAATAATAGTTAAAATTATTACAAAAATACCATATATTTTGCAGATATGACCTGCATTAGTTATTCCATATGCCTGACTTGATCTCTATCTTCTGAGACCAACATACATTATCATATTGGTCATATGTCCTTTTAACACCTCCCCGTTTGTACCCTAATAAGGTTAGTACAATTCTGACTACTCGATATGGGAGTGGTAATACATTGACTGGCCTTAGTACAATGGTAATATATCTAAATACCCTTCCTAATAAGAATTTTCATTATTTCTTCCCCTCCCCCCCTTTTTTTTTGATCCTTTCAGATTTTAAAAATGCTGTTTAGTAACCATTGTGGCTGAGTGGAATCTTCTGAGGCCTTAATATATCTTGTCTACATTGTGTACTTCAGAAAATGTTTTTAAGTGGCCCTTTTGGGCTTTAAAATTGACGATAATATCAATTTTACAGTCTCTATTTTTGGAAGGTTAGCACAACATCTTTTACCTTTATTATAATTGCTACCTTTTTTGGGGAAGGGGTGTACTTTTTTCATGTGGGATCCCCATGCTGACTTGTCTGACACGTGGTTGCTCCATGCGTTATTACCATCTATCCCGACAAACTCTCTGCTTTGTAGCCGATACCTCACGGTATTTATGGAATTATAAAACCAAAAATATAATATTATGTTATACTTAATCCTTCTTTTATGTAGTAACTCCTGAAGAAGCGATACTCTCACGAAACATGTTGAGTAACTACAGAGTGATTACTAATACTGACAGTTGATCTATGTCTTTTGATACCCTTACCGGGATATGGTAATTTGTATTAATTTTAACTATAATTGACGAGTTTTGTAATCTGCATAGAATGCTCCACCACCTCTTGGGGGTCTTGCATTCTTAGCTGAATAACCTGTATGTATTGCTATATGATGGTCTACATACAAATAATAAAGTGATTTTAAATATATCTTTGTTGCAGTGCCTCTAAAGTCCGTAATTGGCCTTTTTCATGTTTCTTTGGTCCATTTGATTAATTATTATGGGACGTGGCACATAGGAGCCTTTTATATGTCCTCACAGTTTGTCACTCTGTGTTGGGTATTTCTCTCTGTCATTACTTATTCTGGGTCATAGATCTGCAGCAGCTTGCTGCACATTATATAGATTTGGATAGCTCCACATCTCCTTTACTGGTGTGTGCATATGTCTTAGAGAATTAGATATTTAACCTTTTGACTGCTTCAGGGGCGGACTGACCATTCGAGCACTCGGGCACTGCCCGAGGGCCCGGGGTCAGTCGGGGGCCCCATAAGATGCCCCTGGTATCTTTTATAGGCTTTTTTGGGTGTGTTTTGAGTGTGGGCAAGGACACAGGGGCCCCATGATCCCCAATTTCCCGGGGGCCCCATGAGTTGTCAGTCCGCCCCTGGACTGCTTCAGAGACTGCAAACTGAAGGAAAAGACTGGTGCTGTATCTTATGTAATGAGATTAGGGTAAAATCTTTTTCCTGGGGATTAGCAATGTTTAAATGTAATATTTTACAATTTTTGGCACATCCTGATTGCTTTGCTATTAGCTGTAACATTCTACCACACACTATAAGTTATTTAACTGATAGAATGACCAGATTACAGGTGAATACAAATAATTGCTATTCCTGAGTAGGGTTGAGCTACGATTTTGGTCCAGACCAAACTTTGTCTGTTTGAACATTCTGATTAAATCCAAACTTTAGGGATGTTTAGTGGGCATTTCTCTCCTAAACGTCCCATAATGCATTGCAAACATCTGTCATTGAATTAAATCTTGCACCTGACCTCAGGTCAGTGTAAGATTTTAGCCAATGGTGGTTTTTAACAAAGTTGCAGCTCACATCCTATAAAATACCTCTGCCCCAGCAGCCCTTTGGTAATGTGTGGAGTTTAGTTTGAGGGACATCTGATGGTATTGCAGGGAGAGAGAGTTGACATAGTAGTTTGCTACTCTACATTCAGTTCTGTATATTGAAATTGGTACTTTGCAGTGAATTTCACTTTGTGTGTTTAGGAATAGTGGAATGTGAACGCATCTGCATTCATTGTGCTTTCATAAGATCCAAAAGTACTTTTTTTTCTTTGTCTGTGTCTGCTGCTGTTGATCCCCCTTCTCTTTATTTGTCTTTAGCAATTTTTTTTCCCTGTTTAATAAAAATAAAAAAGGGTTTCATTTTGCATGTATTGTGTTGTTTTTTTTTAATTATTACTACTTTTTTGTCCTTCAGATCTATTTTATTTGTGTTTATTTTTATAGCCTTTTTTAAAGAAATATGTTTATTTTTTTTAACTTTGGCAGCAGCAACAGTAGTGTGAAGCTGACGGTGACACCACAAAGACCGCACCTTAGTAATTTTCAGTCTCTGCTTAGAGCGTTTCAGGCATAGCAATGCCATCAGTCATTTTAGTACCAGAAGTATGAAGAGACACAGGCCTTCTCATCACACAGCTTGTTGGAGCAGCACATGAATGCTAGCTTTTAGCAAGAAAAGGGCTGCACTCCTCCTCCTTCCAGCTGCTCCCTTTCCACTACATATAATTCCCCTATGTGAAAAATATATTGTCAATATAGTAACACAAAATGTAAATGTACTGCAAAACGAAATCATGGCTACAGTCATAATTTCCTTCAAAATGGGCTATTAGAGTTATATGTGTCCAGGGGGGATGTCAGCAACCATGAGAACTCCAACTCAGGTAACTTGTGGCAAGTAAACACATTCATGTCCCATTGCCTGTGAAAGGACTCTAGGATTCCATTACTGGCTGGAAACCCTCTTAGATCCATGATACAAGAAGAAAGCCATTAGAGCTCATCCTGCTCTTGAAGAGGAGGCAAAAGTTGAAACATCTGGAGGATGTGCTGCAAAGGAGCCTGCTAACCTCCTTTACAGAAGCTGCAAGTAAACTGTCCTATGGAAAACAAAGCTTGGAGCATGCTGTTGTTGAAAGGAGGAGTATCAGTGGGGGTAGTTGCCTAAGTGAGGTATTCAAACCCTTTCTTTTGTCCCAGTGCCAAGGGCTGTCCCCTGCAGGAGCTATAGATAACAAATGCATCATATATTGGGGAAGTACATGGGGTCAAAGATGGATGTTGATATACCTCCGACAGAGAACCCCCTTGGTTATCTGAATGAAGATGGACCAGTATCTGGAGCTTTCCCAGTATGTAATTAGATTTAATTGAACTGCTGGGCTGCCCTGCAATCAGTATTCTCTTTGAATATACATTTAGTGCTGCTGTGGCTTCATGGCAGACAGTTTGTCTCTCCCCAAACACAGTTGACCAGCAGATATTTGTTAAAATGAACCAGTCTTGGATCAGCACCAACTACCAAGCCCAGTTTGTTTATGACTGAAATATGCCTGCCTCCCAAACTGTCTTCTAGGGGAAATGATACGATTCTGTTAAGTGAATCCATATACGTTGCATTAGGTTTCTTAAAGAAATACACTCTTTTTTTCCACATATAAACTTATAGTTGAAAGTATCCTCTGCTCTGATTTACTAAAACTGAAGTGTGCTAAATTTGGTGAAGTTCTGCATAGAAACCAATCAGCTTCAAGTGTTTTTGTCAAAGCTTAATTGAACAAGCTGAAGTTAGAAGCTGATTGGCTACCATGCACAGCCACAATAGATTTTGCACTCTCCAGTTTTAGTAAATCAACTCCTCTGTGTTCATAATTCAACCCCTCCTGCCTTCTTGAAACCATTGTGCTGATTCTCACTTTTCTGTTTGTTTTAACAAAATGGCTTCGGCCATTCTCCTTCATTGGCTACCTCTTCATCCCCAATATGTGATTTAATAGTGAATGATCAGCAGTACTCTGTTGAGGACCTGCTTTTGCTGTGTATTTCTGTAAGCATGTACAATGGATTGATAATCCACCACAAAGCAATAGAGCTTCAGAGTACACAAAGCAAGGTTCAGAGTGATACACTATTCAAGTTATTTTGTGCATGGGAATTGTACTTGTAACAATGTGATTAGTTGATGGATATATATCAGATGGAATTTAAAACTTAAAGTGTATTTACATTTTGCAGCCAAATTGGGGGTAACACCTGCTTTATGTTTATTTCATGTTCCCATTACCATAGAAAACGTTAAAATAAATACAATTGCTGCTAGCCTTTTTAAAGGTTGTTTACTTTTTGGAAAAATGCTTCCCTGTGATGTCGTGTTTAGGAGTGGGGCGGTTTAATATGATTAACCCTGTCTGTACTGCATTTGCAGTTCTTCCTTATCAGCTGTACACTAGACCTGGACACTATTTGGCCTAACAAATTTTGAAACTACCCTCCTGCATTATATGTTAATGAGGGATAGCAATAGTCAGCTTGGGGGCAGAGCCACCATGAGACTCTTCAACTATTCTTAGACTCAGCCATGACACCTTCTCCTTAGAAACATCTAAAATGCTGTGTGAATAGGAAGACATAACAAACATGCTCTTTCTGTTGTAAAGCCAGACCAGGTAGTGAATTGAGCTACAGGGCCAGATTTAATAAAACATACTTTGAATCACTAATCTAAAAAGAGAATGCAGACAAAGCTTTAGTGATTTCAATTTGCAAGGACATTTCCCATTAGCTTAGTGAATATGGTGAAATCTCACTTTGCAAAGAATACTCAATCATATGCAAGGAAAATAATAAAAAAAGCTTGCACAAGATGGAATGATGGAAGTCAGCAGAGCTTCACCTCTTTCACTAAGCTCTTGGAAAATCCCCTTACAAAATGAACAGCTTATTTACCTTGAGTAAATGCACCCCAGCGAGTCTGGTAACTGGCATTTTTAGAAAGAAGTCAGCAATAGCATCCCCCAAATGTATCACATGAAAGACTCCTTTTAAAAACAGTCAATGGCCAGCTAAATCAATTTAACTTAATTTCTTCCACACTTCCTTTCCCTTTAAATTTAGTAAATCAGACCTGTGATGTTTACATTGTAACTTACATTTAACTTAATTTCTTCCACACTTCTTTTCACTTTAAATTTAGTAAATCAGACCTGTAATTGCTGTAATTGCTTACAGTGCAAACTGTACTGCTAGGCATCACTGAAGCCACGTGGACTTTTCTGGTTACAGTTATGCATACTGTATAGCTACATTTTAACCAATAATTTTGTAATGAAAGAATAGCTTGGTGAAGCAGTTTGTCCTGTATTAAAATGCTGTAATTTTTCTTTACTGTACCTTTAATAGCTCACACTGCTTCCCATTACCAAGAAAAATGATCTATTGCAAAATGTCATATAAAATGCCATCTCATAAAATAATGAAAAAATATTCCTGTAATGTGCATAAGGTGCAAGATTTAAATAGGAGGACAAATACATAATTTATCAAAATTTTTACAGCAGAGCACCATTGACTAAATTCTAATGTCTGATTTATAATTGCAGGAAAATGCACATTTTTCAAGAAGCAAAAGAAAAGGGTGGATCGTCTAGCAAGGCAAGAAAAAAACTATTTCATTTGGAAAGAAAATGATACTTAAAAAGTAGTTTTATTGATTCTAATCAAGAACACAGTTGGGTTCTGTATTTCAGTTACCTTCCTTTAGAAAGACAAGTAATTGCACATTGTACTATGCTCCTGTACCTCCATACACATTCATGAATGCAATGTGTAGCAACAAATGCCTTTGCATAGAAGGAAAAAAACCCTTTTGATTTACATAACTAAGTTGAGCTGTAAAAAATTTATGATGGTGCTGAACTAGAGATGACAAGTCACAGTAGGTTAAAAAACCTTTAATAGAAGTTACAATTTATTACCCATTAAGCTTCAATCTTAAATCATATTATGGAGTAAGCTACCAACACTCACATCCCTGTCTCTGTATTAATAAGGTATAGTGCTTTTTTTGTCCTTTGAGTTACTTACTTTATGTGTTTACTCAATGGGGATGTAATGAATTGCCTGGTGAATGATGCCCTGAAACAAATACATGATAGCACATTCAGTTTCTATCCAATACTTATTTTAAAAGCATTGCTGTGAATCGTGATGTGGCCATTGATGAAAATGCAATTCAAATGCTTATTACGCATTAATGCACCACTGTGGGATTTTCTACTACTTGGTACACAGTGGTTAAATACAA